TTTTTTTTTTTCCCAGGCTGTTGCCATCGCCTGTGGGTTCCTGATCGTTCTCCTGCTCTGCCTCATCTGCGTCTTCGCCCACCAAACCCGGAGCAAAATCTGGAAATACGGAAAACCCAACATTTATTGGGATAAAATCCCGAGCAGCCCCGAGGGGCCCGACGTGGAGGAGTGGGTGAGTCCCGGGAATTTGGGAATTTTGGGGAATTTTGGGATTTTTGGGATCTGTAGGATCCATCCTGCCCTTTTCAATGGGAGTGGAGGAGTGGGTGAGTCCTGGGAGTTTTGGGGTTTTTTGGGACTTTTGGGATTTTTGAGAGTGGGATCCTTCCTGACCCTTTTCCTGGATGTGGAGGAGTGAGTGAGTTCCGGGATTTTTGGGATCTGGAGGATCCATCCTGGCCCTTTTCAATGGGATTGGGAAGTGGGTGAGTCCTGGGGTTTTGGGGGAATTTTCGGGTTTTGGGGATTTTTGAGACTTTTGGGAATGGGATCCAAGGGATCCCTCCCAGCCCTTTTCACAGCTGTGGAGGGGTGGGTGAGTCCTGGGATTTTTGGGAATTTTGGGTTTTTTTAGGATTTTTGGGAATGGGATCCTTCCTGACTCTTTACCCAGATGTGGAGGAGTGAGTGAGTCTCAGGAATTTTGGGGTTTTTGGGATCTGTAGGATCCATCCTGCCCCTTTTCAATGGGAGTGGAGGAGTGGGTGAGTCCCAGGATTTTGGGAATTTTGGAGTTTTTTGGGATTTTTGGGAATGGGATCTTTCCCAGCCCTTTTCATGGATGTGAAGAAGTGGGTGAGTCCCAGGATTTTGGGAATTTTGGGGTTTTTGGGGATTTATGGGAATGGGATCTGGGAGATCCTTCCTGACCCTTTTCCCAGATGTGGAGGAGTGAGTGAGTCCCGGGATTTTTGGGAATTTTGGGGTTTTTTTGGGATTTATGGGAATGGGATCCTTCCCAGCCCTTTTCATGGATGTGAAGGAATGGGGGAGTCCCGGGATTCTGGGGAATTTGGGGATTTTTGGGATCTGTAGGATCCATCCTGGCCCCTTTTCAATGGGAGTGGGGGAGTGAGTGAGTCCTGGGACTTCTGGGATTTTGGGGGTTTTTGGGATTTTTAGGAATGGGATCCAGGGAATCCTTCCCAGCCCTTTTCCAGTGGGGTTGGAAATTCCTGGATTTGGGATGGGAGCGTGGGGAGGAGTTTGGGGGATTTGGGGACACCAGGAAGAGTTTGGGGACTTCAGGGGGGGGGATTTGAGGATATTAGGGGATGGATTTGGGGACATTAGGAAGGGTTTGGGGACACCAGGAGGGACTTGGGGACACCAGGAGGAGATTTGGGGACATTAGGAAGGGTTTGGGGACACCGGGAGGGGGTTTAGGGACTTCAGGGGGGATTTGGGGACACCTTGAGGGTTTGGGGACACCAGGGAGGATTTGGGGACTTGGTGTGGGGATCTGGGGGACGCCAGGAGGGCTCGGGGACACGGCCAGGTGTCACAGCCAGGTGTCACAGCCAGGTGTCACAGCCAGGTGTCACGGCCAGGTGACACCGCCAGGTTTCGGTCTGGCCAATCATTAACCAGGAGGTGGCACCGGGAAAACCCGGAACTGGCAGCGCCAGGAGCTGCTGGCACCTGGACGGGGACCTTGGGGACATCCCGGTGTCCCCAGCGTGGCCCCGGGTTGTGTCACCTCCTGGCCTGGCCTGGCACGAGCTGCTGGCAGGGGACGGGCGGGAATGTCCCTGTCCCTGTGTCCCCATTCCTGTCCCTGTGTCCTCATTCCTGTCCCTGTCCCTGTGTCCCCATTCCTGTCCCTGTGTCCTCATTCCTGTCCCTGTCCCTGTGTCCCCATTCCCGTTCCTGTCCCCATTCCTGTCCCTGTCCTTGTCCCTGTGTCCCCAACTCTGTTCCTGTCCTTGTCCCCATTCCTGTCCCTGTGTCCCCATTCCTGTCCCCCACCCTGTCCCTGTGTCCCTGTCCTTGTCCCCTCTGTCCCCCACACCCCTCCCCGTGTGTCCCTGTTCTTCGTTTGTGTCCCCAATGTCCCCACTCCTCTCCTGCTGTCCCCAAACCTGTCCCCAGTGTCCCCATTCCTGCTTCTGTGTGTCCCCCGTGTCCCCACTCCTCTTCCTGTGTCCCCCGTGTCCCCAATCTCTTTTCTGTGTCCCCCCACCCTTGTCCCGTGTCCCCTGGCTGTCCCCAAATGCCACCACCCCCCAGCCTTTGTGTCCCCTCGGGCCGCGCCGCCTTTGTTCCATTTTTTGATTGGATTTATTTGATTCCTTTTTGATTTCTTTTTGATTCAATCTCAGTTTATTTGCTCAAAGTCCCTCCCTGGCCGAGCATTTCCTGTCCCTTTGGGGACACGGCGACACCCGGGTGCCACCCCCGGGTGCCACCCCCGGGTGCCACCCCCCCCTGCTTTTGGGGTGTCCCCCCCCTCTTTGGGACCATCGCGCTTTTATGGGGCCACCCCAAAACGCCACCAGGGTTTGGGGACACACCTGGCGACCCCCCCCCCCCGGGAGGGGACAGGGACGGAAGTGGCGTGTCCGGCCGGATGTCCCCAAGGCCACCAAGGAGGCACCGGCGTCCGGCACAGGCAGCGCACAAAGGGCCGGAAGGAAGGGACAGGGGACAGAGGGGACAGCGGAATGTCCCCTGTCCCTCTGTGGGGCCACCCCAAAGCTTTGGGGACGTCACCCTGAAGGTGTCACCACCCCCCGGGCTCTGTCCTTTGTCACTTTGTCCCTTTGTCCCTCTGTCCTTATCCCTGTCTTTCCATGGGGTTTGGGTTTTTGGGGTTTTGGGGTTTGGGGTTTTTGGGGTTTCTGGGTTTCCTCCCAACCCCAAATGTTTGTGAGTGTCACCCTAAAGGTGTCACCACCCCCCGAGCTTTGTCCCTTTGTCCCTTTGTCCCTTTGTCCTTATCCCTGTCTCTCGGTGGGGGTTTGGGGTTTTGGGTTTTTGGGGTTTTGGAGTTTTTGGGGTTTCTGCGTTTTCCCCAACCCCAAATCTTTGGGGATGTCACCCTAAAGGTGTCACCGCTCCCGAGTTCTGTCCCTCTGTCCCTTTGTCCCAGTGTCCCTGTCCCTGTCTCTCCATGGGGATTTGGGGTTTTTGGGTTTGGGTTTTGGGGTTTTTGGGGTTTGGGATTTCTGCGTTTTCCCCAAATCTTAGGGGATGTCACCCTAAAGGTGTCACCACCCTCGAGTTCTGTCCCTTTGTCCCTCTGTC